GTAGGTAAATAGCCATTAACTGAATGACACGTGTCTGTACCTGTCATATCACATGAACGGGTAGCTTGTGTCATGTTGACCCTTGTGTATGTAAATACTCCGCATCGATTTGTTGTGTTGTGTAAACTGGTTATGGTGTGACAGTGTTTGCTCTACATCATTAATAACTTATTTATGTTTTACTGTCCGCGAGTGAAAACATGTGTTATTATGTATCTGATAGCGTAGTCATGCTTCTGTCCCTGACAGTAATGTACAAACAATTGATCGTGTAACATTGACACGTATGTGCAAATGACAAATGCGTGTCACTCGCATGAGCACACACAGGTATGTACATGTAACTGGTTATATTTAGATATGAAATCAATATTATACCTTGCAAAATACGGAAAGCGTTACATTATTAAGAACTCGCGTGTATAACAACCAGAAATTGCCCTTGTGGAAATGACATTGTGTACCGATTGAACCTGTTTCCTCCCCGCTCAGTGACAATTAAGAACGGTTGAATAAACACAAATGTAGCTTTCTTTTCTCCAGGTGCTGTAGACACCGTGTTTGTATTCGTGTATGTTAAAGCCTGTGTGAATGTCTTGTGATACACACCGGTGGTTACAGTCATATACAGTCTAAATATTTTGCCTAAACTTACTCTGTGTAGCAGGCTTAAGGAGTAACCATTTGCTTTTCAGGGAGGGGGCAGGGATCTTGGTTTGAGATCAACTTCTACTTTTAATGCTTACGAGCTCAGTTCTATTTTCCAACTTAAACAGGTGCTCAGTTATTTTGTAACATAAATAGAAATAACGAACTCTTAATATAGTCTGCAAGCAAAGGGACATGTTATGTTTTTATGCGAAGGCATATGTAAGTTTCTTTCAGTAAAACAGGGGCATGATTATTCCTTTGAAAACTAAATGGGTGCTTCCTCATTTGTCATTTGTCGTAGGCAACACTTTCATTACTTTCGACTTTGGAAAATACCAACGTCAGTGGGTTTTTTTCTCTTTTGACAATCGAGGCCTTCCTTGATAAGTATGTAGAAACAAAACAAGGACAATAATTCCATTTTATTTGCTACCATAATTTTGGCTGTTGTCTCCCGACAAGGACATCTAAACACTGGTTTTACAATTGGAACGTGCATTAAAGTATATGGTAGAACCAGTGTCAGGCTTGGACGAAGTTTGGAAGGTCTACATCCTTTATTGAGAGGTCAATCCTTCTTGTCACAAAGCCACACACCTGTTACACTAAGGGGCCGATCATGTGATATTCTGGGGAGGGGGGCAGGGAATGTGTATTGAGACAGATAGTTTTCAGCTACAGCTGCAAAACTTGATATTTTATTAATTACAGCTATGAGCCAAAATGTATATTCTTCTAAAAACACTTTGCAACAATGTGGGGTTTTTTTGTGGGAGACAATTTATTTTGTTTCCAACAATATGAAGCATTGGGATTTTTTTCAAGAATTTTCGGAGACAGTTGATTTTTTCGATAAAATCCCATTCAAAATGGAACTTGACAAGGATTATCTGCCCTTGAACTACGGAATACCATACTATGCCATTATTTTTCTATTTGAGAGTATTTTCAAATCAAACTTACTAAAGTACTCACAGAAATGAAAAAAACCCTGTTTTTTCGACCTCAGATCTTAAATAAATGCAGTTAATATACAAAATATGTAAATATTCAAACAACTAAATTAGTACTAATTTGGCCGTGGCACAAATACAGCGTATCAAATGTTTTTATGCCTTTTTACACGTAAAAGTGTGTAAAAATGTGAATAAAACAGACTATTGTGAAACAGGGCATAACCAGGTGTAAGTAGATCAAGGTGACCTATGACACCTTAACGACAGGTGAGAACAGGTGCATAATGCCTATAGTCTGTTTCTGCTATGTCAATTTGGACTTAGTTATTTTTGAATGTTGAAAGTGCCGACAAATTACCTCCTGTAAAGTACATTTTGTATTGTTCACTGAGATCAAACTAGCAAATCCAGACTAGTACTTTTCGAGTTGTTTTGTTATTTCGTATTTACAGCTACGTAACACTTTGTGTCGATTTTTAAATTGAGAAAAACATGTTTTTTTCATTTCCGTGAGTACTTTAAATTCTATTGCAGAGTGCCGGGCCACTGCAAATATAATCACAAAGACAAAATGAAGAAAAGTAATATTTTAATTTTGGCGTACTGAGGCAAAGAACACGTCCAGCAGGTCTGGGTCGACACAATATTTGTTGCTTTTCTTGTACTTTTGTATTTCAAAAACATCAAAACAAGGAAGATCTATGTTGATATAGTACAGTTAGTACGTTACAGGCTATTAGAACCATTAAAAAGTTACCAACACTGCGTACTTTGTTGTAGGACCACAATAGTGATATATAGTTACCAGCACAGACATAAACAACGCAGGTCATAAAAACAGTATGAAAATGTCAAATCTAATTACCATGTAAAAATCTTAATAAGGAATTAATTTTTACAGATATAAATACCTATAATAAAACTGATGTGTAAACATAATGTTGACACTAAGTCCATATACACTACATCCATATACAAAGTGCGGGATTTGGACTACTGTAACAGTTGTCGAACTTACATTTTTGTACAAACCTCGGCGGCTGAGTGGGTTTAATCGATGACGATGTGCTGGCGATTATACGTGTCTCACTCTGGCAGTGTAGGTTCGAATCCCGAGTGGAACTCATCACAAAAAAGTACTCCACTGTAACTTACTTGATCACGGAGGTATTGACTGTAAATGCAAGAACACATCTTTCGATTTCATTCAGTAAAAACTTATAGATGTTTCACAACGGATTATCACCAGTGAAGATATTCAGTTCATTAAAGCAGTGATCATGATATGTTCAGGATTATTGTAATAACATTAATAGTGACACAGAAATACATTCAACGTTGATTAAGAAGTGTTGAAAATGATAACACTCAATAATGTTCAATTGATTCTGAATCAAAATCCCCTTTGGGTGAAAGTCCTAAATGAAATAGGTCCCTATTACCCAGTTTTTGTGACTAAACCGACAAATGGAAATGTCGCCATGTGTGACCTGGTTAATTGTGTGTCATCGTACCCCGACTTCGTGGGTTGGTGCTCATGCTATCAACCCCCGTTTTGCCTAGCCCAGTTTATTACTTGAATATTGTCAATTTTGACTTAAAGCAATATTTACTCATTTAACTGTGAAAATAGAATTTAGAGCATATCTCGTCTAGGTTATTCATCTTAAAATCAAATAGCACAATATTTGGTCTAACTTATACCCCTTTTACACTCTTCAATGCTCCTACAAAAATACAAATTCAGTTCAGAAATATAGCCGTGTTTATGTCCAGGTAGGTCACTTTAAAATCACATTGTTTAAAATACCCAAATCGTGATTGTGGCGTCTCTCACATGATAATACTTTGTATCCGGTGGGTGGGTGTCCAATATTTTATCAAAATATGTCACAATTCATAACTGATTAAATAGGAAAATATATGGTACATTTATGCAGCAACACTTTCGATGATAAGCAGAAGGATTGTTTTAGAAATGCCCAGAAAACGACATGATTGTCAACAGCAGAAAATTCACTTTTGCGCCGTTGTGTTTCTTTGGAAGGTCAGGGACATGCATATTTGAATCTATTTTCTGTTGAGCTAAATACATTTTCTGATGCAAGCAGTGACTCTGTCTGTAACAGAATGTGTTGAAATGTCCGAAAACGAATATGTGTGATTTGTCAGCCCCACCATTCACATCCCGTTCCAGAAAACGGCCGTCCCCAGTCCCCGTGAATGTCGTGCCTAACTAACAGTAAGTTTACCTCTATCATGCAAGCATTGATGAAATGGTTGCTTTTCTGGTAAAGCTTTCCTTGGTTTCATGTTCAACGGTTTTAATGGGCGTGTAACTCCGATGGAGTCGCGAATTAATAGAGTTAATGAAATAAATATCAACCATCAGTTAACTGTAGCTTCTTTTCCCATGCTCAATTACGGACATGTCCAAGTAATCATTAAATTCAGAGTGTTGGCTGACATCGAGGTTTATTGCCGCTGGCGGTAGCGATATTATATATTAATCGATGTCATTAAATAGCGCTTGATTATATTAGATTTTAAATAGACTCTGTCTTTATGCAACCATAGGGTTTGCATGAACACATTGTACCTTGAAGTAACGGGAGAAAATCTTTAATCGGATAGATTGTTTGTACAAATAATTCATATCAAAAGCGTTCGCTCGTCACGCTGAAGACCCGGGTTCGGTTCTCAACATGGGTACAACGTGTGAAGCCCATTTCTGGTGTACCCCGCCGTGATGTTGCTGGAATATTGCTAAAACGGCGTAAAACTCATTGATAACAGGTTGTCTTTATTAGTAGTCGTATCATCGCTGACTGATCGAAATATTGCGAAATCCATTAGTGGTAGTATTTAATGCCCTCATAATATATTGTTTTATTTGATGGCATAATGATATTTATGTTAATTGTACCAAAGTCCGTGATATTAATTAAATGTATGTCATCCTTGATCTACATTATATCAACACATGGTTATCTATACATCTTGCGGCCGTGTACGTAGCAATTCAATAAAATTGATTTTATGTCTGTTCAGGATATCAAGTTCCTAGGTAACAACTGTACTATGTAAATACTAGGTTTCTAGTTTCACATTCGCTGTATGTGATAAAAAACAGATATTATAATTTCTTTGATCAACTACAATTAAATTCAAATTGTTAGTCTTACCACTTATTTCTTTGTATTGATAATTCCGTGACAACACTTTAGTTAGGTTTATATATTATTAAGATAGCGACGCGATAAATCGCAAAGAACAATGAAAAACAAAGAACAAATTAAGCGTGGTTTATTTCACGATAAAACATGGTTATATCATCACGTCATATCTGGATATTCGAACATGCGCTCTCAACTTGATGACGCCGTATATTGA